TAAAAAAAAAAAAAAAAAAACAACAACAACAACAACAACAACAATTGAAGAAAAAGAAGCTGCATATGCTGAAGTTAAGCATTTAGATGCATACAATTTTAACCATTTATGATTTACCAGCTCTATCTCGGAACATTTCAATAGCTAATATTTTAAAACTATTGCTCAGCCAAACTATATAGAATGCCTCATTATCAAGAAAGTTTCAAAAGATACTCTATCCGTAAATTATGTAATATCATTAATCAGTACCTTGAACTGCAGGATCCCAGGATGCACTGCGAAGTTTTTCAAGTAGTTCTTCTGCCTTTTCAACAGTTGCCATCTTGGTAGCCATACTTACCTGTTAATATTCATTTGTTAGGAATGTCCAGATAGATAATATGTGTGTGTGTGTGTGTGTGCGCATGCGGGCGTGTATGCGCACTTCCAAAAAGTGTTCAATAGTAATTACTTGAACAAGAATCGTATATATATGTATCCACATGTGAGAGCGTTTGTTAATTATTTTCTCTCTTTTTTCTACTCCTTTCAACTTGAGTAACTTTTTCATTTCAATTACCTTAGATGCATCATAAAAGTAATCCTTTTCTTACGACATTCAATAGGACAGCCATTTTTTGCATATATAAGATTTAAAAGATAAGACAAATATCTTCTTAATATTATAGGGGGACTAACGGGGAGAGATGTTTAAATACATAAGATGTTGAGAGGTATAGCGATTGAACCACTATAAACAGTAGAACACCTTTATAATGTGCATGTTATCACTTTAGCTACAAGCTCCTGATTAGAAAGTAAACATGTTGAATAAGAAATATTTAAAAAAACAATTCTTTTAAATATTAACTTCTGCATTCTGGAACGGCTGAAATAGCAATACTTGTAATCAGTACAAACATTTCAATATAACTCATTCATACAAGGTATAAAATCCAGTTTAAAAATTAAAATCATACCTCTGCGTAGTTATTATAGCCAAGAAGCTTAGCCTTTTCCAACCTAAGCTTCAAAATTTGGTCAATGATTGCAGTATTGTCAAGATCACCACTAGAAGCACGGCTTATATAGGCACGATAGACTTCCTCTCGTAAAGTTCTATTTTTAGCATGCTGCATCACAGCCATATAACTTGGGGCATCCAATGTTATTACCCAAGGTCCTGTCTGTGCAGTAGCATTTTCATGTCCCTGTTATACAAGGCAGAAAAGTAAAAAGTGATGTGAGACTCATTTTCGATATATCAAAGTCAAATGGAGCTAAAACAACAAAAACACCATCTGTTGAAATACCTTGGACACTGCTGTTTGAGCAGCCAACCCAAGAGCTGTATCTGGCAAACCTTCAATGTCTTTTTTGTCGGTTATTAATTTTTCAAATTTCTTTGTTGAATCTAAAACATTCTCCTCAAACTTTCGGGATAGTTTGGTCAATTCCTGTACGCAAATATAAACACACTCAAGTCATTAGGACAAAATAAAACATCACCCGAAAAATTTCATAGACAGAGTGCTAGAAGATTAGGCATGGCTAGAGTACTTTAAGAAAATATCACAGAAAATTTTCATATACAGAGAGCTAGAAGATTAGGCATGGCTAGAATACTTTAAGAAAATATCTCACACTTCAGCTAACAAATGAATTGAATACATTGCCAATAGGCAAGCCACAAGCTATATTGTCGCTGTCATGCAGTTTATTGTATGCCAACATTTTGGTAAATACCTGTTCAATGTTGTTGAACTCCTCTCTTTTATCATCTTCAAGTGCAATACCATTCAAAACAGCCTCCTTTATTTGTGCTGCAAGAGTCAGTTTGGCAAGTAACACCATAAGACCAAATGAAAAGTAAAGTTTTAAGACTGGTAATCATTCATTGAAGACACGGTTAAAGATTATCCAAAACGAATCAACTTAGAGAAGTCAGAAATTATAAAACATCACAGCCAACGCAAGTCGTTACCTTCAACTATACGTTTGCGGGCATCACTCAGCTTGTCCCAGTCGGAAGATTCTCTGATACTCTTGAAGGCGTTATAAATTGGCTTACTCTGACCTAGCTTAAGCTCAAATGTCACTTTTTCCGGCTACAAAAACCAAAACAAAAGAAGTCAACTGTAAATTCACATCACTACCAAAAAAAAAAGCAAGCATTGCATTCAATTCGGGACGTCCCCATAAATTCTCAATTCACATATAAATCCATCTCTACCTGGACTTCTTCAATGGCTGCACGTAGGTCAGCGTTATCCTTGACAGACTTGAGATGCGAAACAGCACCCCAGACCACAGCCAGCCGGTCCACAATCCTCTCCAGCGGCTCTACCAGCTTTGGCCACGATGGCTCCACCGTCCTCTCCAGTTCCTCCAGATCATTTCCCTACAATTCATCCACTTCAGTCACCCGATCCAAACTACTCGGAAAGCTAAACAACAAAATCAATTAACAAACACACCAATTTCTCAAGCAAGGCGCGGATGCCGGGACGGACGTGCTTGGCCTCGATTGAATCGAACGGCGGGAAGTAGAAGTCCTTTAGCAGAGGATTGCTCTCGACGTCCGCCATGTTCGCCGCCGCGGATGAAGCTGAAACGCAGAAATATCGGGCGGATGGAGTTGATCGGAGGGTGACCCTACACTGCTTGCCTCTGATTGGCTCGGAAAAAGAGCGGCGAGCGCGGGCGTGAAGAAGGCAGACGGAGAAGGAAGCAGACCAGAGGGGACAAGGTCGGGATTTGAGAGGAGTTTTGGGGCGAGTTAGAGAATGGGGTCGGAGGAAATAGGGCTTAACGAAGCAGAGTCCTGATTGGGATTGGATAGAGCGAGAGAGGGAGAAGGTCGCCATGAGGAGGAGTAATAACAAGTGGGGAATTCGGGCGGGTGGGGAATTTACGGATAGGATCCATTTGGAGTTCATTTTCGGTTTGTGAGAAGAAAATCAATTCAATTTGGGAGTCCAATATTTTGATCTTGAGTTGGAACTTTGTTGTAACAAATTAATAATACAATTCCCGTGTACTACACAGGTATTGAGTTAAGAAATATATAAAAAAAATTATTGCTAGAATAAAAGTTTTATCTAAAAATCTTGATAGACTAATATTGATGAAAAAAAAAAAGAATAGATAGTTCAGATAGTGATTTGTAAATCATAATTTAAGAGAGACATATGGAAAAAAATTATAAGTTGGTAAGATTGTTACTTGCCCAAAATGTATACTAAGAGACAAAAAATTAACAAAATTAAATGTACACTTACCTAGTTTGAAAAAGTTATTAATGTCTAATACCAAATCTAATTCCAGAGCAAAAATGAATATACAAACAACATTACGAAACATACATTTTCGTCATGTCAGCAACCGAAGCGTGCGAGTCTTCCACCTAGGGTCAGCAAGTTTTGAATTAGTATATAGGGAGAGATAATTTAGGATGAATGGTGTATTTTTTTGGTGAAAGGAATTAATCATGGTATCATATAATTTATCTATTATTATATAAAAAGACAACAAATTTTTTTTTCAAATGGTAACTAAAAAATAAATAGGATTCCCCCCTAAATATTTACTTAAAATGGTAATCTTTTCTGAAAATTTTGTCAAATATCCCCCCTAAATTTATTTTTTAAAATTTTTGGAAAAAAATTAAATTCAAACATTTAAAGGAAAAGATCACACACATATTTATCTGGATACATTCTACCTTATCTTAACTCCAATATAATCACATTTCTAACACACACAATTTCATTATCTTAATTTTGAAATTATCCCACAAGTCTTGATATATATATATATATATATAGAGAGAGAGAGAGAGAGAGAGAGAGAAAGAGAGTTAGGATCATATGAGATTGATAGATAGTGAAAGAAATAAGAATAATTGTGGACCATTAGATCTTACATATCATTGGTTAGGATAAAGTTAAAATTTAGTCAATCATTAATGATAATATGGCAATTTAACATACACTAGCACGTAGCCTGTGCGATGCACGGGACATAAGTATTAATGAGTTATTTCCACAGAACTTGTCCGTTAAGTAGCTCATGCGATTCACGGGAGATATTAAATGAGTGGACCATAGGGCTTGTCCGTTCAGGGCCTAAAAAATAATAGAGTTTGATCATCTATCTTTTTACATCTTTTCATCAACGTCATTTTTTTTGTCGGAACATTAAACCCGAGTCTGGTAGCGCTGACCCGTAAATTAATTAATATATTATCTCGCTCACATGTTTATAATAATATAAATTTGATTTCATTATATATATTTATTCATTGATATAAAAAAAAATAACAATTTTACGTAATCTTGTTCCTCGTATAATACTTATATTATTTCATTATAAAATTTATTGTAGTATAATGTCATTATTATTATAAGTTATAGATGTAACTTTTTATTTTATGTAATTAAAATATTTAATGTATGTTCATATTATTTATTAATGTAATTAATTTAAATTATGTAAATAAATTTAAAGTAAAACATTTTGTACAAACATTTTACAAAATATACACAAATGTTTTTTTAGAATTTAATTTTTTTACAATAAATAACAGCTTTGAAATTCTATGCAATTATTAAAACCGATTAAATCTGCTTTATTAAAATCGGTTAAATCTTTATTTATAGGCTTGACATTAAAACCGATTTTATGAGATTTTTTTAACTAAACCGATGTTATGGAATAAAACAAATCTATACTTACATTTGACTTTTCTAGCAAAGGTAAAAAAATCGATTCTGATTTTTATCCCATAACAAATCTTTAATGTAAAGCTATAAATACCAAAACAAATCTGTAATTAATGTCATTCTATTTCCAACAAACATTAATTACCTTTGACTTTTCTTTATACTAAATATGATAAATGTGATACCTTTTAATATAAGTATAGATATTGTGGTCAAATTTACACATTCGACCACTCAATAGGGGTAAAATAGACATTATACATACGATATGGGCCCCACCACAAACCCTACTAACACACACTCTCTCTCTCACTCTTACACCAAAAACACAAACTCACACACACACACACACACACGTTGTACACACACAAACACACACTACACGCACACCTTGAACACACGCGCCACTAGCCTGCCGCCACAACGCCCACCTGCCGCCACATCCCTCGCCGGCGCATTTCATAGCCTGAGCATCCAGAGTCTGTCGGAAGAAGGTAGGGTCACCAAGTCAGCCGTCATCAGCCTCTGCTGAAGCTTCACGCCGGTTGGTCGAGGTTTCTGGTTCGACGCACGCTGTCACGCCTCCAGCCTTCACCATCTGTCTCCCGCTCCTCTGCCACCGACAATGTCTCAGCCGTCGGCCTTCTCAAGGGCATGAAATTCTAGGTCGTTTATCTTAACTCCCATATAATCACATTTCTAACACACACACACACACATACTTTCATCTTATCTTAATTTTGAAAGTATCCAACCGAGTCTTTAAATATATATATATATATATATATATATATATATATACACACACACACACACACACACACACACACACACAAAGAGAGAGAGGGAAAGAGTTAGAATCATATAAGGTTGATAGATAGTGAAAGAAATAAGAATGATTGTGGACCATTAGATTCTACATATCATTGGTTAGGATAAAGTCAAAATTTAGTCAATTATTAATGGCAATATGGTAATTTAACATACATATTGTGGTCAAATTTACACATTTGACCACTGAATAGGGATAAGACAGACATTATGCATACCCCATGGGCCCCACCATAAACCCTACTAACACATACTCTCTCTCTCACTCTTACACCAAAAACACACACTCACACACGCACGCTGCACACAATTACACTCACTACACACAGCTTGAACGCACACGCCACTAGCCTGCCGCCACATCCCTCGCCGGCGCATCTGCAGTAGATTTCATAGCCTGAGCATTCACCATCTACCAGGAGAAGGTTGGGTCACCACATTAGCCGTCATCGGCCTCCGCCCAAGCTTCACGCGGGTCGGTCGAGGTTTCTGGTTCAACGCACGCTGTCGCGCCTCCAGCCCTCATCATCTATCTCCCCCTCCTCTGCCACCGATATCGTCTCAGCCGTCGGTCTCCTCAAGGGCGTGAAATTCTCAGGCGTTTTCGTCGTTTGCCGGTAGAATTATGGAAGAATTGTTGGAATGGAAGAATTATGGCTATTACATATTGTGCAATTTATGTTTTGTGTTATGGAGGTATTTTGTTTGTTTTTATATTGTTATGTGTGTTTTCTTATTTCTGTTTATGTTTTGGAATGAAAGTATTGTTCATGAGTATATATACACAACCATTCACACATCATGTAAAAACATGTTACTAACATTCTAAATAAAGTCATGAGCACACAACTAATGCAAAAGAGTTTGAACAACCAAAATGGTGCTTGATTTAATAGTTCAACAGACATCACATTAGCATTAACTTTACAATCATTAGCATTAACATTACAACCAAAAGAGTTTGAACACTACCTAATGCAAAAGAGATCCACAAATCTAAAAGCTTAGAGAACACTACAACATGGAATATATGATCACCCAAGAGATCAGAATCACAATCCATAGCCAACGCTCACGAGCACTTTTCCTCTTCAAACAAAATCCAACCTCTTTCAAATCTGATTGAAGTTTCTTCACATCAGATTGAAGTTTCTTCACATCAGTTTCTAACCTCATCACGTCTACTTCAAGAAATTGAGCTTCACTTTCAAATTTGTTGGCACGTCTCAAAAGGCCATGAATGATTTCACAAGCTCTAGGGCACAAAGGTGGGTCAATCCACGAAAAATATACACAACCACCATCATGCTACAAAAATTCAGTTAAAGAAACAAATTAATTTCAGGAGATCTGGGGTTTATTGAATTTGCCCAATTTTTGGAATTAGGGTTGACTGAAATTGCGCAAATTCATAAATTAGGGTTAATCTAGTTAATACCTTACCTGATTTTTTGCGCAATTACCATATCTCTTTCCTGGATTTTGAACACTCCACGATGTTTTCGTAACAATATTTTTACCACATTGACATAGTTGACCCATCGCCACCGTTTGTCTCCAAGCCATTTTCATTTTCGACACCAACCTGCTGAAGAAGAAAAATGAAGAAATTAGCACGCGATTTTTTTATATAAATCTTCTAAGACGATAAAATGACAAAGTTTTCCTTCAAATGTAATGAAAAATGGAAAATTTACCCTCAAGTTTCGAGCGTGTGCGTCGCACGCTCGCTTTTCCGGTGGAAAACGAGCCGCCGATGGACGGAGGTTGCAATACAGGCAAACTCGTGTATTAAAGGTTGCAATTTAATACAAAATATTCTTTAGGTTGCAAAATTAAAAAACGCGCATAGTACAGGTTGCAAATAATTATTTACCCCATAAATGTTTTATGCGTTAACAATGAAATATTGCAGTGAATTGTGTATGTGAGTGTATGTGTGTGTGTGTGTGTGAAGAACAAGACAGAGTCATAATTAATATCTCTTGTATTAATAATGGAAAATTAATTAGTAAAATCAAAACAATTGAAGATGTGTTATAAGTCCTACTCGAGAAGCAAAATAGAAAGTAATGAATTTAGCTCGAGTGTTATATGTCCTACAGTTATTAACTTGGAGTTTCACCTTCCCGGAATATCAAAATTGAAATCAGGCCTATAAAAGGATAATTACCAAGTATTCCCTGAAGAGTGCTAGAAATGAATGAGTAAAGAGAATCTATAACAATTTTCCACAACATTATGTATGAGACAAAAAAAAATAAATATTGGTTTAAAAGAATCTAAAGAGAACTTATATTTCGTCTTAACATGAGATCAGAGAACAATCATATTTAGTGAAATGTTACTTAGGACAGATGATCGTTAATTAGGACATTTAAATTGAATATAACCCAATGTTTTGACTTATATGTTAGTATTGTGTTTTCTCAGTTATCTTGTATCATGTATAA